CACTTCCTTCTCCCCCCTCTAATTACACGCCTGAGTCACCCACCCTCGGGTGGCCATCGCCCTTCGCCACCTGGCTGGCCACTGTGCCCCAAGCTGCGGCCTCAGGTGGCCACCCTGGCTGCAGCACCCCGAGTCCCATGCACCCACCCAGGCTCGCTGGGGTGCTCTGGCACCACCGCACCTCCCTGGCCACCCTCCACTGCATCAGCACCCAGCGGGGCGGCCCCACCCTGCTGCCCGTGGGTTTTCGGTTTCCCAATGTAGGACGAAGCTCCCAGCCGTGCCAAAACCCCTCCGGGGGCGTCCGACTCATCCTGCTTTGCCGGGAATAAAGCCACCCGTCCTGCTGCCGGGAGGGGAGAGGTGCTGCTCACTGGGCGAGGTAAGGACAGCTCTGGGCTCAGCGCCTTCACCTGCGAACCAGGAGGGACTGGGATCAGCTGGGATGAGCTAGGATGAGCTGGGATGAGGGGCCGCTCCCTTACACTGATGGGGGCTGAGATCAAGTGTAAGGACACGGAGCAGCCCAGGATGTAGGTGGCTGGAGCTGGAGAGCAGCGGAGACACCCTGGCTGGGAGCAGAGCTCTGTAATCCCAGGAGCTGGCAGAGGTGCTGCTGGATGGATTCACCACCCTGGGATGAGGATTAGCTTCCCCTGGGACCAGCGAGTGGGCAGACAGCTTGTGCCAGCTTTGTGGCTGTTCCAGGCAGTGCCCACCGTGGCACACTGCTGCACACCAGGACTTTGGAAAGACCTACATCAGGGCTTTTTTGCTTTATCCCCAAACCCAAAGCAGTTTTCCAAGTCTGGCTCCCATCACTGCCTCCCTGCGGCTCAGCATCCCTCCCAGCAGGATGGGGACCGTGGTGCTGGCACTGTTGGTGCTGGCTGTGACTCTCCTGAGCCCGGCCATCGCCACGCTGCGCATCGGTGCCTTCAACATCCAGGCGTTTGGGGACACCAAGATGTCCAACGAGGGAGTGGCGAGTGTCATCATCAACGTGAGTGCAGCCGCTGCCATGTGGGGATGGGCTGTGCTGGGGCGGGCCCAAAATGGGGCTCCTGTGCCAGGGAGACATGGGGATGTGGCCAGGGATAGGATGGCACCCCAGTGCTGGCCATGCCCTGGGTGGTTGAAGGCTCGGTGTGGACCAAGGTGGGGCATCAGGCACATCCTGGGGTCCCCCTGAACCCTCTGTGGGGACATCTGCCTCAGCACCGAGGGACACGTGGATCCCTGCAGTCAGGGTGCCTGACCAGGAGCTGGGGGGGGTGACAGTGGCCCTGAGTTGATGGCAGGCTCCTTCTCACCACCACCAACCCTCTCTGCCTGGCAGATCCTGCGCCGCTACGACGTGGTGCTGGTGCAGGAGGTGCGGGACTCCGACCTCAGCGCCGTCACCCAGCTCATGGAGCAGCTCAACAGGTATGAGCAGGGCTGAGACACCAACGTCAGCAGGGACAGCCAGGCTGCCTGAGCAAGAACCCTCCAAAACAAAGTCAGAGGTGGCAGAGGGCTTGTTTTTGGAAAAGGGAATTGCAGAAAAGTGCTGGGGGTGAAGCTTTAAACAGGCATGGAAAAAGCCACAGGAATAATCTGGGGAGGCGAAGAGGGTTACACAGACACCCTCTGAGTGCTGCAATCCTGTCAGAGCACACAGGATGGAAAGGAACTACAGCCTGGGGAAGCTCCATCTCCAAAATCCAGCAGGACAGGGCAGAGGTGAGATGGGGGATGAAGGGGGCAGAGGCAGGCAGCCCCCCACACCCCGAGACCCTGGTCATGGCCGGGGGGCCCTGCCATGGACCCAGTGGTAGATGGTGCTCTGAAGCAAGCAGCTCAGGCACCCCAGGAGGAGCAGGGGCTGCTGGGGGGGGCTAGAACTATCCCCTGCAGGGCAGCAGCCCCTCTGCCAGCTGGGTGCTGACCATGTTTGGGTGAGGGCATGGACTGGGGCAGGGCAGAGAGGCTGCTGCTGCCTTGCTGAGAGGTGGTGAGTGCTCCTGAGCTGGTACACCCAGCCTGTGTCCTCACCCCTTCGGGGTCCCCTCCAGCACAGCCACAAAGCAGCCAGGGCAGGGAGGGTGACGCCAGGCTCTATGAAGCCCCGGGCTGCTCATTAACCTAATTTAGCTTTGCTGCAAATGAAGGTGAGGAGCGTCCCTGCAAAGAAGGGGGTGGCAGGAGCCACCTCACGTCCTGCTTGTGGCTGGATGTGCGTGAGGAGCCACCCCAGAGTGGTGGGGACAGCAAGGTAGCTGCCACTACACCCCATGTCACCCACAGCCAGGGCATGGTGGCCCATGGGGACAGCAGAGCAGGACTGCCTGGTGCCAACTCCATGGCCACCTAACCCCTGACCATGCTGAGGCCACCCCAGGGTAGTACGTGCCAGCCATGTCACCATCCTACCTTTGTCCCTCCGCAGCGAGTCCACATCCCCGTATGAGTATGAGATCAGCGACCCCCTGGGAAGGGACAACTACAAGGAGATGTACCTCTTCATCTACAGGTAACAGGGCTGGGTGTGCTGCCTCCTGCCCCCTGGCACCACGGGGCCATCGACACCATGGAGGGGGCACAGGGGCCGTGCCAAGCCCTAGGGTCACCATCCGTTTGGTCCCACAGGGCAGATGTTGTGTCTGTGGTGGACCCCTACCCGTACCAGCCCCCAGGACGTCTTCAGCCGGGAGCCGTTCATCCTGAGGGTCTCAGCGCCCCACACCAGTAAGCAGGGGGGTGAGTGGCCCTGGGCAGCAGCGTGGGGTGCCCGTGGGGCTGACGTCCCTCTCCCCTGGCAGAGGTGGGGGAGTTCGTGCTGGTGCCGCTCCACTCGGCCCCGCACGACGCCATCGCCGAGATCGACGCGCTCTACGACGTCTACCTGGCCATCCTCAACAAGTGGGGGACTGATGTGAGTGTCACCGGCACCGGGGGTGGCACTGAGGGTGGGCACTGAGCCCCGGGGTCCATCCAACCCATGACGGGTCCAGCAGGACCCAACCTGCTCCGAGGCGAGCGC